CCAGCGATGCTGGCCATGCAGCACCAGGCAGCTAGCCAGCACTGCTAGCAAGCTCGGCATGGTGCGGCTTCCTTGGCTAGCTATATTTCCCTTGGTCCTCGGATTGCTCGGGGCATTCTGAGGCTAGGGGTATATTTGTAACTTGTTTTTCGCTTGATTTCTCGTCTCGTCGGTTCCTAAATTCGACTCGACTTACGACGCTCGGTTTCTGACACTCTATGGTCGGAATCCGACGTCTATGTTCGTAATACTCTAATGACTCATTAAATCCTTTGGATTAATTCGTCTTCTCGGTTCGGTTACTCGATTGGGTGTGACCCGAATCCCGAAGGGTTCAGTCAAGATTAAGCTGTAATATTAATTATGCATTAATATTACTGATCGGATGCGACCTCCAGCTAGGCATTCCGATCACTTGACCTCAATGAATAATTAGCTTTCTAATAATTCCGAACCCTCTATCGGAATAATACACTTGTTCGAAGGACACCATTCCTTTCACTTCTTGACTTTATCAATATGTCCTGGATATTGATACTGGAAATCTTCTGACAAATCATCCAAAAATTTAGTCCATAAAGCATAAGGATCCTTCGGTTGACAGAATAATTAGGACTGTAGCAAATAAACGGCGCAAGGCAACAGGTGATTGACATTCCTTTGCCTCTGACATACACAAATCACCTATGTCATCATCTTCAAGTAATCCCAACTTCAGATCAGCTTCTTGAAATGTTGCATATACATGTCCATGCACAGTTCGGAGGTCTTCAAAACATGTTGGACTTCGAACATTAATTAAAAGTAATAGCAGAAAGAAACGTTCTCCTTCAGCTGGAAAAACAAATGCTAACCTACCAACGACCATCTTTTTGGTCTGCCGTTCAAGCCATTCCTTTTTAGATGGATCCCATCGATACCGCTCACATAAGCCTCCATACAAGTAACCTGTTCCACCTGTATGAAACAGTCATTTCAAAGAACTTAGCAAGTAGTTATGCAAATGAATTATTGATAAATGTATTCATGGACAACCATGTCCTCCATGATGCATTTAAAGTCCTAGTTTGTACTTAATAATAATTCCGCTAACATATAGTTGTTCAACAGGATAAAAATGTCGTAAGTAATACTGATGATGCAGTTATACCAATGCTAACCATAATACCAATGGTGCTCAATGAAACACTGATGTAGCTAATGCAGATGGTATTTCTATTTTTGAAGGCCCTGGGAAAAAAAGGAGATTAGAAGCAGTGGCGGATCCAGGATTTTCAATTCGGGGGGACAAAATGCTTAACTTACAAAAAGCTTAACAAAAAATAAAAACAAAAAAAAAACTCAAACACACAAATTGGTTAATACTTAGTAACATACATCACCCCCCGAATAACTATCAACTTCATTCTTGAACAAGTAACATACAAAACAAAATGCGGCATCTTTTTCAATACTATACTCAAGCTAATCCCATTTCTTGAACCAATGAACTCTAAAGCGACGTAAACCAGACACTTGTCTTTGAGGAAAGTCATGTGTTTTTGGTTGGCAAGGTTTTTTAAGAATATAACCCCTCCTAACTGCATTTCGTTCATTTGGGGGGTAATCCATTATGTTTATACTTTTTCCCGGATCATGAGGAAGAAGTTCAACATCGTATACCAAATTTTCCTCCAATGGTACATTACAAGTACTTGAACCACCCATTTCAAATCATCTTCTTGACTTTGAGGGGAGCTTAATGAAGGGGAGTTATTGGACTCATTTTCATGGAGTTTCTTTCTTTTAAACATGAATTGTCGAAAATCGGGTTGTTTTCTAGTAGGCTTGGATTTGTTTGAATTAGGTGAATCATTTGACATTTCCTAATTAAATTGAAAAATATATATCAATTTCCACAATTCACATCATTGCATACTAATAAAACCTAAGATTAAAATTGCAATTAAAATAAAAATTCAACAAAGATTGCAATTAAAATTAACAATGATTCAACAAAAAAACTGGAAATTAGGGTTAACAATTGGGGATTTCAAATTGGGAATTTCGAATTAGGGTTAGCAAGACATACCATTGATGGATTTGATGAAGCGAAGACGGCCGAGGCTCGAAGGTCAGACGATGAGGGCGTACCGGCGTAGGCAGCGCGCAGGCGGCGCACGCAGCTAGTGAAGTGGCTTCCGAACTGCCGATTTGCCGAAGTGGTGCTGTGGTGACTGGCAGACTGGTGAGGAACTGAGGAGCAGCGACGCACGCAGGGCGGTGGTTGCCTGGTTGGTGGAGCAGCGACGCACGCCTCGACGGTCGATCTCAGTGGACTAGTGGAGGCAATGGCGAATTGGAGGAGTGAAGACTGTAGACTGAGTGATGTTCTTCGTTCTGTCGCGTTTTGCTTTTTTTTTTCACTTTTTTTTTTTAAATTTTTTTTTTAAAAATGGGGGGACAGTTGTCCCCCCATGTCACTTAATTGGGTCCGCCACTGATTAGAAGCATAAGCTTTGGGACAATTAGGCAATAATAATGAAACTGCAAGTAGCTTGAAGGCAATAGAGGGAATTGGAGTTAGTGGATTTCTGACCTAGAATTCACAACAAAGGAAACAATCCAATACGTTCTTTGGGACAACCAAAAAGCAATGCTGAAAGTATAAATGAGTAGAAATTGGATAGAGTTTTTGGGAAAAATAATTTCAGTAATTGAGATGTCAAAAAGGAAGGAGGACCTCAATCTTCATGAGAACAGCCAAGTGACTACACCTTAAGAAAGTGTGTACTAAGTGATCAAAGGAGAGAGTAAGCAATGCCACCATAATAAATGGAAAGTGGAGCACAAAAATGAGGAAATAGCACCAACTAAAGGGGAAAATGAGGTATTATGAATGGATATTAAAGATAATAGTGGGCAAACATGTTGAACCAGATAAGAACAGTGGAAGTAGTGCTGATGGGTGTAGTTTCACAAAGGCTAATAGTAATACAATTCTAGTGCATAGGGAACTGGTAAAGCTAGTGTAAAAGGTATGTCCATCTTTTATAGGACTTCAAAGGGGAAAAGCTCGCAAGTATCTGCGTTGGGACATTCAAACAATAGTGACGAACTTGCAGGAAACCAGAATTCAGAGAAGGTAAGTGGAGCTACAGAAATTGGAGGTAGGGACTACAGAAGGAAATAAGTACTGCAAAATGCTCTTCGACATATCTAAATAGTAACGCTGCAAGTATAGGTAACTGGAAGTTTGGTAAGGCCTGTTTTAAAAAGGCAATTTGAGTAACTGGGATGCTAAACAAGAAGAGGAGAGCCTCAGTTTTCATGATAACCCGGCTGATTAAACCCTAAAGAAGTATACACTATGTGCTAACAAATGAAGTTCTAGTGATATTAATGAGTATGTAGATTCATATACAGGCAAAAACTGTTGTATAATCAAAGAAACTAATAGATACACAGAGTGGGCAAACATTAAAGCTTCCAAAGTTCTAATAATTGAGTAACTGGGATGCTTAAAATGAAGTAACTGAGATGCTAAAAACATTTTATTCATTGGGATGCTATTTAAAGAACAAGAAAGACTCAACCTACATCATAACAGCCAACTAATTAAACACTAAAGGAGAATACTCTGTGTCCTCACAAATGAAGTTTTGGTGATACAAACAAGTATGCCAATTCAAAGACGGGCCAAAAGCATTCCATAGTCAAAGACACTAATTAATATGCAGGCTAGAAGGACAGTAAACTCTAAAAAGATTTTATTTTTGACAAATCCTCTGCATCCTGAAAATTCATCTAAGGCAAATGGTTGCAATGCAGCCAAATCTTAGGGTAGCTCTAATACAAAGAAGGCTTGTGAAGCCTGTGATAAGCTAACAAAAGAAACTGTTATTATTGGCTGGAAGGAATATGACAAGTTCAAAATTGCACTCTTGGTATTACAGGTTCAAGATCTCATGTTAAATAACTGTGAACTAAGTGCTGACTAGTAAAGGTCATTATTAGAGATATACTAATAATTAAAAGGAATTTACACAACACAATGATTATCATTTCTAATACTGATCTCCATTACAACTATATTGAACTTCCTCATCTAACTTTCTTGTCCTTATTTTTCCTTCAAGTCACTAATTTGTTTATCTTAGTTCCGATTTTAAATAGACCTAATCAGGATCATGAGCCTTTTCACAGGATTCTTTCTTCCAATCACCTTGATCCTTGGAATAAGTCAAATTCATCAAATTGGAAGAATGAATCTTGTGAAAAACAACAGGATACTAATAGACCACAACCACCTTCAAAACAGCATGAAGGATGCACCTTCAAGGCAGCATGCAGATTGTAGATGGCAAGACAGTATAAATGGGCTACAATGGTTGTGAATTCAAATATTCATTTGATTCAATATCCATTTGATTTTATCGATTATTAGGCATAAACTACCAACTTAATCTTTACAGCAACAGGCAACATATTAAACACTAAAGAAGTAGCAACTAAGCACTGGTCAATGACACTCTGCTAAGCCATACCAGTCTAGGAATTCATATGCCTAAGGTTCTGACCAAGAAAAGGCTGAAATGTTCATCATAATCAAAGTCACTGCTCTGATAAAACAGCACAGTCTGGACTTTAATCAACTAGATGAAAATGATAAAAGTAGTGCTGATGGATAGAGCTCTGGCAAAGTTAGCTAGGATACTGGCAATAGAAATGGAGATAGTCTCTCTAGTTCTTGGGAATGTGGAAAAGAAAGTAAGACCCAAGCACCTATTTGGGACAAGTTACACAATGACAATGAAATAAATAAATAAGCAGCAAAATTAAATATTTCCCTAAGATATCATGGCTACATAAATTCACAGTGACAGACAATCCTATTCAAATATTGAATAACAATGGTTAGATAAATATGAAATCAGAGAAAGATTTAGCTAAGCAAGAACTTCTGGAAATTATTTACAATATAGAAGAACAAACAAGACAGACACAACAATTATCACACAACAATTTAATTAATAGTGACTGACTATAATATTTAGAATATAGGCAATACATGTAACATCAGCATTAGCTGCAAAGAAGTTAATGGAGTTCTACTCCGTTTATAATCTGAAACAACATATTTGAGCTGTTCATGAGGCCTAAGTAGAATGCTCTGCATATTCGGCAAATGTACTGGCAGTGGAAACACTGGTGGATGCATTTCAAACAAATCAAAACTGAAAATCCTCCAGGCAGCTTCACATGGAGATACCCATCTCCCAGATTGATATTCTTCAATTTCATCCACCACTTTGTCCGTCTGAGGCAATTATATTGTATACGATCATGACCCTTATATACATATATACATATTTGCATAAATATTTTACTGCTTTGATAATTGAACGCACCTCAACATAATATGAGAATTAAACAATAGTGATAGATATGGATTATATGGAATTACCCAGCGATTATCAAGCTGAGCACCCCGTATTCTGACACTTCTCCTGTATTTCTCCTTCTATATAGAGGATAACCATCTTTATTAACACTGGTTTCATCACAAAATTGTCTAGGAAAACCATACTTGCAAGACACTTGCATCCCAGATCTTCTCATTCATAAGCATTTAGGAATCAAACTTCCACACGGACCATGCATCATATGCCCAAGTACTATCATTCGTAAACCAGAAGAAGTGACAGGAGGAATTTCTGCACATACAAACTTGTCATAATCTTCAACACATTTCATCTTGAATTCTGGTTTCAAAATTATTAAGAATTGAGCATGTGGAAGACCACGTTTCTGGAGTTCAACTACATATATCATAGCAGCAACCTCGCCAAAACACTTTTTTTCCATGATCTCTTTCTTTAAAGCAATTAATTTAGCATGGAAAATTCGGGCCACTAAATCAGGACGGTCTTGTGCTTGCTCCCGACCACTCAACTCATTCTTAATCTCTGGCCAATTAGCATTACATGTCATGGTTACAAAGAGATCTGCCTTACCAAACTTTTGGACCAAAGCCATTGCATTGAAATATCGTCGCTTTCATATCTCGCGAGCCACCAATATATGTAGGAGGTAAGATTACTCTGCGGCCAACATTAGCTGCTATAGTTTCACCACAGTCCAGAGAATCAAGCACACCTTGGTATAAATCAGCTCTTATAGTATCCTGGTTCTTGCGGAAAAAATCAAGTTCAGTATTCTCTATTTTAACATACATATCAACAATATATTGCTGAAAACACCTCCCAGCCCGAAGAAGCAAATTATTCGGCTTAATCTATAACTTATAGGCATAATACTCTCTTGCCGACACATACTTATCCGCCTTTGTATATTTCTTGCAAAACCTACATTATAAAAGTGAAGGGATTCAAATATATCTAAATACTCTGACAGTATAATCAATAAACTATATACGTATACCATTTAATTGAACTTACGAGATCCTTTTTCTGCAAGTAGCTCTTCTGTAGTATGGACAGCACAAGACATCACCTAATCCACTTCCATGGCTAGTTGTTGACTCCCACCCTATGTTCTTTTCTTAAGTCCTCGAGTCCATCCACACTTGCCTCTTGGAAATAGAAGTGGATACTGCAATGGATCATAGCATCCATAATAATGCTGAATTCGATGTGACTCAGATGACTTCCCTCGAACAATAACATGAGGAGTACTGCTTTGGCTAGAATATGAACTCTCTGGCCAGATACCAGCAACTTCATCAGTAGATGGAGTATTATATACTCGTTGATCTGGTACTGTATTTTTGTTCAACATTATAGTTGTGGTCTCATCAACAGGGATCTCTCGTAAAGATCTAAAAAACCTTGCATATGGATTATCGCTACTAACATTCATCAATATAGAAACAATATCTTCCCTTGTCTCTGGAAAACTGTCTGTACGATTAGTAGCTTCATGCAATCCATCATAAAAATACAGTTGCAAATATTTTGGATTCCCATCACATGGAATTAAATCTGGGACAAAATGATACATCTGCCCATGCACTTTGATTACATAAATACCTTTTTAACTGTTAGCATCAAAATTACCACCTAATGAACTAAAAGCAAATAAGTCATTGTATAATCAAGCATATTTCTTAAAATGCATAGCATCTTCATCATCACTTGTAAAAAGTCTCTGTAGTTCAACATGATATTCATTCATGGCTATTTCAATTTCACCATTACCACAAAAAAAATGTAAACTCTCAAATGCAAATTTCTTTGCATTGCATTTTTCATAATAATGTGGAGGAGGCAACTTAATAGGACAACCAGGCAATTGCAAGCCAATAGTTGCTGCTGGTACATCTGCATCAAACATTATCTCCTAAGTATTTTGTAGGTAATGACCTGACATCATCAGGAATTAGATTTATGTAAATCAGTAGAGCTAAATCAAATAATACCTATGTTGCTTTTACTTTGACGGATCCGTCGTTCCCTAGGTACAATGGGTCTGCTTCCAAAGAGGACAATATATAAATATACACATGTATATTACTGACGGATATACATATACATATGTTTAGTCTAAACATGTTCCATGCTAATATTACCTCACAGGTTCTAAGTCAGACATTGCTTCAATTGTTCTCCTACGTATACTCTTCCGTTCTCCATACTGTGGTATTACAACTGGATTAGGTACCAAATGCGATTCAGTAGATGCCTCTGATTCATCTGCAGCTTTATATATTAAGCACTACTCTATTATCAGTCTCTACATATTCCTACATACCAACTACTGAACATCAAAGGCACCATTACCAATATTGTTCAGAGCCTGATGCTGCAATTGACTATGCATCCTAGTCCTGCCGTTACAATCCACATTACATAAGAAATCCACAATCACCATACGAGAACCTCTACACTTCCATATATAAAGTACAATACAGCTATACAGACCTTGAAGCACTCCTTCTGACCGGCGCCTCCAACTGAATATCATATGCTACTGTATCTACATCACACATATAGGTACAGTATCATGCTACATTCAAAGTTTGCAAATACCTGATCACTACTTATTTCAGAATTAGTAGAACTTAATACTACCAGTGTTATTAGCCAAGCGTTCAGCACGCAATTGTCTAGGCATTCTAGCAATCCGACCGCCTCCTCTTCTGCCCACAAACATCAATAGCAACATATCTCAGCAATTAATATATTTGCAACCATCTGTTTGGACTTATTACTATCTGGGCACAATTCACTAAAAAAACACTCCATTCCACTCCTAGTATGAGGACATGTCACTGTAAGCCAAGACAAATACCCCAGACCAGCAGAATACACTGTTTCTATACTTATGACAAGCACTCCAGTCTTCCTAATAACCCTAGGCATAAACCCCACATAGTCAAGCGCAACATGTACAACTGCACCAGCAACCTTGTTACCACAGCACTTCCTCTTATCACCAGACTCCATAGAGTTCCGTTTCAACCTATACAACTTCCCACATTTTTCATACATACGCATCCTATCCATAGTAAAATCACCAACACAAACACCATACTTCTTGATTAAGAAATTGATTGCTCTAAGGGCTGCAATTTCCTTAGATTTATCAATAGTGGCTGCCTCCCCACCATTAAACCAAAATATACCATGTGCACCCTCTGTCCTTATATAAACACATGAGTAACACTTGACCGCATCAACCACAAAATAAGTGGGTTTAGGGAAATCAAGACAGTCAGTGATCTGAACCAACGGGCAAAAAGGAATATAAATTTTTTCACCAGAAGACAATGCCACAACCTGAAATGGCGACATTACTGTATTTGTATACAATAAGACCACCACATATACAAAAGCAGATGCACTATGAATTATCCTAACAAACCCAAAAGTAACATAATTTTAACAAGCAGTGTTCAATATGCTATAATAATGAAATTGGATTATTCTGATAATACAAATCAGTATGCAGATTCATAGGCAGGCAAAAACCGTTATATATACTCAAATAGACTAATCAATACACAGGCTGGACGAAAGTAAAACCTATAAAAGTTCTAGTAATTGAGTAACTGGAATACTAAAAATTAAGTAACTAGAATGCTAAAAAAGTTAAGTAGCTGAGACGCTAAAAAAAGGAAAACAAAGCCTCAACCTACATCATAACAATCAGCTAATTAAATACTGAAGAAGTATACTCAATGTGCTGACAACTAAAGTTCTGGTGATATAAACCAATATGCATATATGGAATATATTACCAGAAGAACACCTACCCTTTATTTACCTATTTGCATACATAAGGCCACAATGCTATATAATAACCAAATAGATTATTCTGACAGATATTGTATATCATATAAAACTACATTCTAATGAAAGCAAGCACTGATGATACAAATATATAAACAAGGTTCTGCACAGCAAGGATAACCCTGGGGTAAAAGTCATAAAGGGTCTGGTAGCTGGAGCTCTAATCAAGGTAACCACCATCCTGTTTCCCAAGGGGTATCCGAGAAAGTAGAGAACAGGGCACTGACTTGTGGACAACCGAAAGATTCATCCTGGCAAAATAAACAACGATGACAATTATGGTGGATGGGGTTTTTCCAAGTTCAATCAACAGGGAACTAGTGGAAGCTGGGATTTTAAAAAGAAAGGGAGCAATGTTCAATCTTGGGGGCAGCAAATTGCCCAAACAGTCTTGATAGCGAAGAGGTAAAGGATTTGCAAGAAAGCGAACAATTCATAGACATGCAAAAACCGTTCTATACTCAAAGAGACTAATCAATACACAGGCTGGACAAACATAAAACCAACAGAAGTTCTAGTAATTGAGTCACTAGGATGCTGAAAATAACATAACTGGGATGCTAAAAAGGTTGAGAAATTGGGATGCTTTAAAAAAAGGAAAGAAGACTCAACCTACATCATAATAGGCAGCCAATTAAACACTGAAGAAGTATACTCTATGTACTGACAAATAAAATTCTGGTGACATAAACCAATTTACAAATTCATATACGGCATAAGAACACTATATAGATAAGTACTACAGTACAAGACACTATCCAACAACCATATACAGAGCTAAACACACATCCTACATCAATGAGCAACACTATCCATAAACACACAATACATTTATACCCTGAAAACTTACCAGCTGTAATAATACAAGCAGAAGAGCTACGTGAATATAAACTCAAGCAGCACCTGACTCTCAAGAACTCTAAACCTGCAGACCACTTTAAACAATTAATTTACTTCATTTGAAACTGGAAGTTAATGAAAACCAAACTTCCAGAATAAATACTTTCTAATATAACACAGAAGGGCATTGAACTTACCAAAGAAATCACAAGCAGCTTGACTGCTTGCCAAAACTAAGCACTCAGATTCTCTGCATACATATATAGAGAAAGAGATATGACAACACCCAAACCCTATTTTCCCTCAATGTTCCATATATATAATAGTACTATTTTAAACAAAAAAGTAACCAAACAAGTACATTAAGACAATTCATATCACTATACACCTTACACCACAAGTAATCCCAAGTACAAGGCCACTTTTGTAAACCATCATTTTTTTCATTTTATTTTTTTTTATTTTCCCAGCTAGCCACAACAATTAATTACCTTGAAATGAAAAATCAATCTGACCACCAACTAATCAATATCAATGCCCTACTATACTCAACCTACAAAACAGTGGCAGTACACTCCAGAGGCATATCAACACTTTTTTCAATTTTTATTCAAAGGAATCAGCCATCATTTACCATTAATAAATAAATAATAAATAAACATTGATATAAATCTATACATATTCGATCATAATAATAAAATAAACAAATAAATTATAAAATACCAAATATCAATTCCAAAAAACAAAAAAAAACAACATTACTTTTCAATTTAATACTCCATTAATTACCACACAACATTTCTGTTCACCAGTAATCTTCAATTATATCCATGAATTACCATACACGATATCTTCTACTAAACCGATCTAAAACCCCCAAAAATACAGTACTGTTATCAGATTGGTGTTGTTAAGTATGGAATTTAATGATTAATTAATGATTAATGATATACATTTAATAAAATTGTTAAGTATGGAATTTGATGATATATATTAAATTTAATCAATATATTATCAGTATAGTAAGTGTTAATTAACTGACTGGTGATGAAGGTGTGCATGTCTCCTTTATACTATATACATTAAATTTTAATTACTGACTAACCAAACTAAAATTAAAACCCATACATATAGCTAACCTCATCACTTCCTCGTTAAATAGCGCAACCTTCAAAAACCAGAGACCATCTTTTTTTTTTTTTTTTTTTTGAGAAATACAACCAAATAATGAAGCCCAATCCATTATTAAATTATATAATTATATATACAAAGAAGATGGAATTCATTTATCAATTTACTTAACCAAATACCGAGCAGCCCACAACAAACGAAACCGTAATAACAGCCCACAAAAACAGCAAACACATTAAAATCCCAGAAAACAACTAATGGCAAAAGGGGAATTCCTCTGTTCATTTTCAACAATGTTTTGCAAGTTACTGTTGGGGAAACACCGCCTGTAAATCTCTACATAAAACTCACAATTATTTTTACTTTGATGCTTTTGCCCTTTTTCTAATTTTTACCCATAACGTAATTCTTACTCACGAAAAATGTGGAGCAGGACTGGATCGCCGAGGGACACCGGAGAGCCGTCATCTTCGCCGGAAAGCGAGGTACATTGCGGTAAAAAATTACGAAATGCTCGCCGGCGTATGGCCAGACCGCCGCCACCGTGGCGATGGTGTCTGGCCGGGATGCCTCCACCGTGGCGGTGGCGCCTAGGCGGAACGCTGCCACCATGGTAGTGGCGTTTGGCTGGAGCACCATAGCCACGGAGGCGGCGTCCCGGCCAAGCGCCACAAGCACGGTGGCGGCGTCCCGTCCAGACGCCACCAACAGTTCATTTTTTTTTTTATTTAAAGTTTTTGTTTTTTTTTTTTTTTGGTTTTTTAACTTTGATACTAATTTGAAATTAAATATGTGTTAATAATAAAAAAAAAAGTTATATTTTAATTTTGTATGAATACTTTTATACATAATTATGTGTTAATTATGTGTAAATTTAGAAATTACATGTATTATGCGTTATAAGAAATTAAATTTACAAATAAAAAATTTAGAAATTACTTATGTGTTACTTTTGTGTTAAATGTATTAATTTAATCTTTATATAATTATATATATTTTAAAATAATATGTCATTATTGCAGGATTATGGTGGAGACGGAAATGATTATAGTGGGATTTTTGTACATGATGGTCCCTTCGAAGATGCTCACAAGCGATTGATTGGGCAAAACAAGTTGCAATTAGATCTGGTTTTTGTTTAGTAGTAGCAACTCTTAAATCTCAACGGGATGGTAGAATGGATCGCATTTTGAGATGCGACCGTTATCGCAAAAGGGAGGAACGAGATTTCAATACAGCGATTCGGTTTGATACAAAGCGGAAAGGTTGTGGGTGTGAGTTCAGAGTAAAGGTTCGACTACACCAAAGTCGTGACGGTTGGGAAGTGAAGGGTTACTCTAAATGGGGGTATCACAACCATGAGATGATAGTATACCAAGTGGGTCATCGACAGTTAAGCGGCCTAAGTCCTGCTGCAAAACTAGTTGTCAAAGAAATGAGTGATGCTTAAGTGAAGCCTGCTAAAATATTAGCATCTGTGTTAGAGAAATTTCTTGAAGACCAGTCAAACCGAAGACACATATACAATGTCAGACAGAAACTAAGGTTTGAACGGTCAAAGGGAAGGGACCCTATACAGCAGCTGCTTCTACACCAGGCACAAGCACGTGGTTACCTGTTCTAGTTTAATTCTAATGAAGAGACATTCGAGGTGACTCATTTATTCCTTGTGCATCCTGATTGTGCTGATATGATCAAGTCTTGGCCATCTGTGATTTTGTTCGATTCAACATACAAGACAAACAAGCACAAATTCCCACTGGTTGAGATGATTGGGATGGCTCCAACGAACCAGAACTTTCTGATTGGTTATGCAGTCATCAAGGATGAGACGAATGCGAGTTATTATTGGGTGTTGGAGAAGTTGATAAACTACACCGGCTCTAATGTTCAGCCATCATCCATCGTCAGTGATTGTGAGGGAGGTCTCTTTACCCCTATAGCGGAGTTGTTTCTGAAATCGAAGCATCTACTGTGCACATGGCACATCAACAACTGTGTGAAAGTCAAAGCCTACCTCATTTTCAACAAGAATTTACATTCAGCAGAGAGATTGCTAAATGGTAAGTAGTGGAAGATCCTGCAAGCTACCACAGAGGCAGAGTACGATCGAGCCTTGGATAACTTAAAGGATGCGTACCAATGGTGTCCGGCAGTGGTAAACTATGTGATGCAGCAGTGGATACCTCACAGGAAAAAGTTTGTCAAATATTGGACAAACCAAGTTCTTCATTTTGAAAACAGTACAACATGTAGAGTTGAGAGCCCTCATAGAGCTTTGAAGGACCGGACTGATTCTTCCACCTCTGCTCTGGATACACTATTCGAGACAATAAACTAGGCTATTGATACTCAAAAGAGCAGCTTCAAGAACTCTCTCGAGGACTCTAGACGGCGACATGGTATGATGTATGTATTGCCATTTCATATTTAAGATTCTCCATGGTCGTGTGTCACACTACTGCTTGGGGTTGATTCTGAGCGAGCACAATAGGATGAAGGAGTTGGGTGATGAGGTGGCTATTCGGTGCGGATATGCTATATCAATGACTCATGGACTACCTTGTGCATGCACCATTCACCACGTAATTACCCAAGATAGGGCGTCGTTACATGTTGATCAGGTTCATCCATTCTGGCGGACGCTCGTTATTGGAAAGCATGCTACTCCATAGACGGTCGACCGTGAACAGGAGGAGTTGGAGCAATTTCGTTCGATGTTTGATCGAGTGTCCTCCGGTCACCCTTCAATCATTCGTGATGCTACCCACGTACTTCATGACATGTTCAACACGTCATACTTGGATCACGAGGACCCTAAAGGGGTCGAGCGACCTAGAGGTCAACAACCACGGCGGAACAGGAGTGCGTTTGAGTACATTCGTGGTCCTGGTCGTGGTCGTGATCGTTCATCGTCATCCAGTCGTTCGTCTGGTCATGGCCGATCTTCTTCATCGGTGAACATGCCTGGAACTGGTATAGTAATTTACTTTACTTTTTAGAATGTTTGTTTAGTTTACTGCTTACTTGTTAATTGTGTTTATTGATATGTGCAACAGGAAGAGTGGATATTGATCAGTTTCCATCTAAGGACACGATCCCTAACATCATCATGGAATAATTGGACGGGTGGAATAATATGGTTGCAGATGGTAACTGTGGATTCCAGGTCGTGGCTGATGTGTTTCAGATGGGTGAAGACAACTACGCTTTAGTGCGTCAGTTGATGTACAATAAAATTACCGCAAACCGAGATGTTTATCGTCATGTTTACGGCCAAGACTTAGATAGTTCTCTTTAGCGTATCCGATGGGGGGGAGGACCTTGCAGTCAAAATCATTGGTTTGACGCGCCACTTGATCTCTTTGCCGTTGCAAACATCTACAAGTGTGCAGTCATGCATTTCGGGCTTGGTTTGTATAGTCGAGCTTATTATCCATGTTGCACGGTTCTCCCTTGGTATTCGCATGCGACCGTCTTAAGAGAGTTTGCTATTGCATTTCCGGGGTCGTCATACAAACATTTCATCCGATTGGACCTGTCATCCGATTTTCCGGTGCCACCGATCATACCTCGGTGGTACACTATTCGCAGATCAAGCGTAGAGGGTTGGGATATTTTGTATCATGACCGAATGCATCATTGGAACAACCTAGCTGCCTTTTAGTTTTTCATGCGTACACATTTTCTATGTAACATTGTATTTGTATTGCTATTTTTATTCCATTTATTTATTTTTTGTATTCTAATTTTGACTAAATTTATATCTTGCATGCATACTAATTAGTATTTGCGCGTTACAAAATAAAAAGATAATGTCAAATTTTACAAACAAAAATGATAATGTCAAATATTACAAACTTAAACGATAATGTCAGATTTTACAAACTACTATGATAATGTACAAAATGTTCTATAAATAAACTGCCAACATATCAATAATCTCTCCTTGAAGCCCGCTCCCACTGCGCAAGGGTCCGTTCCATATCATTAATAACTGCTCTGCCTGATGCAGTCGTCATGTTGTCCCTCTCTTGAAAGAGTCTTTATCCTAGCTGCATCATCTTTCCCATCCATTATACACAACAAAAAAACATGAAATTCAATAACGATATATAATAATAATAATAAAAAAAAAAAACACACAACAATAAATGTTTTATGAGACATACCGCATCCACATCAATGGGCGGTTGCACATCATCATCATCGATGTCGTCGCCATGGTGGAGGTCTCTGATCAACCTCGGGTGCGAATACCGACTGTACCATTCTATGTAGTAGTGGTCACACATGGGAGGCACCTTAGCTGGCGGCCTCTGCAGCTCCGCAGTCCATAGGCGGGCAACCATCGAAAACTTCTCCCACGTGGTAATCATGCTTTTCGGCCATTGGACGACGTACTCCTTCGACGACGCAGATCGGACCGCCCTACTGGGCCATCCTGGTGGAGGAGGGACAACTTGGGGACAAATCCAAGCTGGCGAAGATAGCGCTGGGGCATGTACGCATCTACGATCTCACGATACTGAATCAGTCCCATGTAGAGGGTCCTGGGTACCCTATTACTAGGGTTCTAGCCGAAAGGCATCCAGTTCACCTGCACATTTTTCTAAATTAGTAAATTCATATAATAAATGCATTACAATATAAAATTAGAGATATTTTATACACTTTACCTCTAAAGGGGACATCCTTTCAAACAATAATCGTATCAATCGGAGGCGGTCAACGGACTTCTTCTCGAACTGCGGACTCCACGCACAGGCACGTGGCATCCCATCACCAATAGGAACCGGGTCGCGGTGTGGTCGAAATGCAAGAAAATACTCGTATATCCAGGTCTGTAATAAAGTCAGACATCTAGTGATACCTTCCGCGTCAGCCCGACTCGAGAATCCTAATTGGAAATACAGATACGCCAACGTAGCCGACCCGCAAGAAAACTTGCCTACTCTGTCGGGCTCACACGCGTTAACTATGTCGCGTGGCCTAAGCTTGTTTCCGCTCTTATCCGGAAACAAGGTACACCCGAGGAGAAGAAAAACATATGCAGTCAATTGTGTGTCATGTGTCCTACGTGCAGTGGGGTGCAAACAACGCTGCAAAACGGATGCGATCTTCACACCGTCGTGATCTCAAAACCAAGCGCCCCGGTGTATAGCGTACCCCCAACAGCTCTGCT